AAAAAGCAAAACTTGAACTGGCTGGCAACTATTTATGTAGCATTTACACTGTGTTAGGTATTCTAAGGAACCTAGAGATGATTTAAAGTAGACAATAGGATGTGTGTAGGTTATATGCAAATACTGTGCCATTGTTTATAAGGGACATGAACATCACTGGATTTTGGTATTTGCCAGGGTCCTGGAACCAATCACAGGTCACATCTGGGTCTCATCCAGTTGAGCTAAGTCATTCCCTTCTGGTTCCTGAGTCTGCTTTTTACCCACCAGGTCCAACTCCTGAACTCGCTGAAGATTTTGGCCACTTTTCCTCTGATTTCCACTCAACTCAGCCTCCTACCCCCTACCCACTGACTTTTCCAAGCTAGAAATAGAGAAATCATCCTTGAAGTCCCTCCTCTTCCCTGTCTCATCCAATCCATCCTCATGTTCTTCTGGTTTTTATCAACAATGTCTCATCCAGCCCTCTCTCCATCTGGTCTTCCTCCTGACTCCACGTCCACCTCCTGCACAGCCGCCATTGCTACCTGGATTCTCTGCTGCTCTAAGTGTCTGATGGGCCCACTGCCTAGAGGACAAATTCCAGATGCTGTTTGGACACAAAGCCCTTGACTCTAGCTCCTGTCCAGCTTCTTTTCTGCCTCTTCCTTCCACGGCTCCCAGGTTTTGGCCACACAAAATTTCTGCACGTTCCTCAAATGTATTATAGCATGCTGTCGCCTCTTCCAAAGAGCCTTCCTCTGTTTTCCTCCTTAGCTTTTACTAAGAACCTGACTGTGTCATAGAGTGACCACATTTGTTTATGTACCTATGTCTCCCCCAGCAACACCCCAGCCACCACTTCTAAGTATGAGAGCCTCTCACTCATCTCTGTTTACCCAAGAATTGGTGTATTTCTCGGCACCCAGAGGTCCCTGTTGGATGCACGGGCCCTCGGTTCTTAATTATGATTCTCCCACTCCTTTTGGCCTTGGATCAATGGCTTAACCTCTCCGGTTTCCCATTTGTAAGTTTAGAAGATCTGTAAGGTCCCTTGTTGCAGTAACGATCTGCGGTCGCCCTGACCTCTGTGTGCTGTGCGGCACATCCTACGGGAGCTTCTCTCTGTGGTCAGGAGCAACCAAACCAATAGCAGGAGAATCTGGCCAGTGGCACAGAGCCAGTATTTTTCCTTAAACCTCTTTGCAAAGAATTTTTTCAGCCAAAGGCTCAAGGGAAGTAAACCCCTTGGCAAGGTCCCAGGACATGACAGGAGAAAAAGCACAAGGACTTGCTGTATGATGTCCTGGGAGCCTGGAGGGTTCCCGCGTTAACTCGGGAGCCACGAAGTGGTCTCCTGCCCATTGGCAGCTCATCTGAGAATCAGAAAATCTGAGGATCGCAAGAGACCTTCGGGGTCATCTGATCCTAATTCCCCTTTACACAGTCAGAGCACACAGGTGATGTAAGGAAGTCGGGGAGACACACCCCACTAACATAGGAGAGAATGAACCAAAGTCTCTACACCCACCTCCTCATCGTAGGAGAAGCTGTTAGAACTCAGGGGCAAGAGTTCTGGCCTCTGCTTTGTGCTCAACAGCTGTTACATTTAAGGGAATGACCACATTTTACTCTATTTGGATGGAGAATACACTTAAGAAATTGTTTATTGTGCTGTTGCAGTGGATCCATCTAGACACACAGTTGCTTTCTGCATTTCATTGCAAGCACAGTATGATTCACAGTCTGCTCCTGGGAACATGAGGGGACACGCACCAAAAAACAAACCAAAAAATTTTTAATATACAAGCCCAAGGTAACAGCACCAGCGTTTCAATTCCTCAGGAAAAAAATAAATAACAGCTGCTTTCTAAGAACAATTGATGCAGGAAAAACAGGTGTGGGGCGTGAGGAGGGCCCTTTCCCAGGCCTCGGTTGAGCCCCTGGGACGTGCCCCGCCAAGTGTGGGTCCTTGGCGTCACACAGGAAAGAATTAAAGAGTGAGCCACAGTTGAGTAGAGGTAGTTTTATTTAGAGAGATAGCAAAAGGCAAGAGAAAGGCCACGAGGGGTGGGGGTTGGGTGCTCAGATTAGAGTAAAAGTAGGTACACACTCCGTAGACAGAGTGCGGGCCATCTCCGAAGAGAGGGGAGAGAAAGAGGCGGCCATGAGGTGCCAGTTTTTTATGGGCTCGGTAGCTTCACACGCCTACAGGTGGAACCATCCCAACTACCCTGGGGAAGGGGCTGGGATTCCCAGGAACTGGGCCACCGCCCACTCTTCGGCCTTTTGTGGTTAGCCTTGGGACTGTTCTGGCACCTGCGGGCATGTTATTCACCGTGCTGAGGTTACAATGAGCGTATAGTGAAACTCAAGTTCTGCTAGAAGTCAAATCTCCAGCCATCTTGAGCCCCAAGGCCTGCTGGTGGTTGAATCTTTCACCATCCTGGTGCTAATTGTTGTGTTATTCCTTGAATAGCTGTGCCCTGCCCCCTTCCTTCCTGCCTCACAATCACAGGCATCAAATTGCTGGAGAGACCCATGTTTTTGTCCCTCTTACACAACAGTCAGAACAGGAATGCAGTTGTAAGGCAAGGAGCTGGGTTTCTGGGGCTGAAGGACAAAGACTTCTGGTTTGGCTTTGTGACTTTTCGTGTTGATAGATGTGCTACAGGCATGTGTGGAATGTCACAGCCCATCCAGGAAATAAGTACGTCCTCCCCCAGTGTACTCATCTGTATGACCTGCCGGTTAATTCGCGTAACAAATCCTTTTTTTGCTGCTGCACCTAATAATCTGAGTTGACGGAGAGTTTCAGTCTTAATGGATGATTATTGGAGAAACATTCGCCAGTCACCCAAAGAGGATGATTATTGGAGTAACATTTGCAAAAATGGAATCTAACATTCAGAATTGACAAGGGAGCATTGAACCCAGATGAGGAAATGTGTGATATATGTTGCCACCTGCTGGCCAGAATGGAAAACTACAGACAACATTCAGGAGCCCGGAGCCAAAAGGAATAATTCTTTATAATTTCTGAATTTTTTGTGATGTTTTTTAAGTCTGGAATTTTGGCATAATAAATTAATATGAATATGGAAATTGTAGGCGGCGGGAGAAGAGACTCCAAGGGTATACTGGACTAAGGGAGTAAAATATACAATAACCTCTCTAAGCCTGTTTTCTTTTTGTAAAACCAAAAATTACTAACCTCTCATCAAGCTCAGAGTCTCTGTGGGTCTTGTGACCCTTTCAGGGCAAAGACAGCACAACCCCCAGCTCTTGCTGGCCCGGCCTTTAGGGTGACTAGTCCAGATGCTGCTTCTCAGATTCAAACTGAAGTTCAAGGGTACAAGGCCCGTGGTTGAGATCAGCTTTGAAAAGAGCCATCTCCCTGAAGGTCAGTAATTGAACTGAAAGCAAAGTGAGGTGGGAAGGTCCACGCAGGACCCTCCGAGAGGACCCAGACAGCCTCGCTCCTTCCCTGCCCACTGAAGATGACTTCTGGCTCCCTGCCCTCCCAGCAGCCTTGCAGCACCCCCACCGACGATGCTCATCCCAGCAGGATTAACGAATGGCTCTGAGAAATGGAGGATGAAGAAAGGAGTGGTCTCACAGCACCCCCCCACCCTGACACACACACACACACACACACACACACACACACACGGTGGTAGTCATTGTTCTATATAGTGAAGCTTCTTACAAATTATAATGACCCGTGAAAATTCACATGACACACAGCTTAGAAGCTTAGAACCTTGGTTGGGTTGCCTGCCCCTCACCACATGGCCACGAGCCCTCTGGCTGAACGGGAAATCTTGTGCTTGCTTATTTCCCTCAACAAAGATTTCCACCTCTGGGCTGGAGGACCGACCACACGCCAAGCCATGGGCTAAGCCCTGGGGGTCTTCGGCAGTGAACAGACATGGTTCCTGCCTTCGTGGAGAGAAGAATCTGTCAGAGACAGAGATGTAAAACAGAACTGACAGGGCAAGGAGGACTCAGAAGGAGGGCAGGGTGTTCTGCATGACTGGGGACCAACCCGTGTCTCTCCTTCCCCCTCGTGCCTGCCCATCACTGTTGTCTTTGGCTGGAGCTCCTGCAAGGCCTGGGTGACCCCCCTGAGCAGCACCTCAGCTCACTGCCACGTAACATTAGACACAAAATAACCCTCCTCTGGGCCATCCATCTGGAGGCCAAAAATCGGGTAGGAAGTGACAGGTAAGACAGGGAGAAACCCTGGTAGCAGAAATAACCCTAGGACTGACTGGGAATCACAAAAGCATTCATTCCTTGACGTGAGAATTACATCAGGTAAGTTTCCTTATCTGATCAATGGAGAAACGATTTGGATTTCTTCTGGGGCTAGAGACATGTTAGATGTGACGGCTCTCAAACGTTCAAGAAGCAGGGATGAAAATGATTTTTTTTAATTAGGAAAAATGGTAAGAATAAACATTTTTATTAAACGTTTCATTATTTAAATATATTTCCAACAGTATTCCTATTTTATGCTGAAAGGGTACAGAGAATATATCCTGGTCTTTCATAATAGTAAGTGTTGTATTTTGTCCATAATTGGGCATTAATTTTCCACCTTGTCAATTTACCTTCCATCAATTGGATTTATATTTGAAGAGTTTTTATTTTATTTTATTTTTTAAATCTTATCTTTTATTGAAGTGTAGTTGACCTACAATGTTAGTTTCAGGTGTACAGCAAAGTGATTCTGTTACACAGATGCATACATATATATGAAAATATTTTCAGATTTGAAAATGATTATCGATAATATGACTAAAAGTGCTTATGATAAATCATGTCACAGATTTCTTTAAATTCTTTCCAAATTTAGCCCATATGAAAAAGTACCCCTCTTCCTAATCCTAAAATTGCTACCAGTAATTTTGGCCACCGTCTCAGGAAATCTCATACACTGTAAGAGTTTTTTAAGTGTTGAAAGGTGCGAATGAGGGAAAAGTTCCTAAAAGGTCTTCGAAATGGCTTTTTTCTAGCATCCCCAGATTCAGAAGGAGTCCCAGTATATCAAGTATTTGTGCTGTGATGATGCGAGAACACTGAGTCAGTGGGTCACGGGGATACGGATCGCCAAGGTGAGAAAGCGTGGGGGCTCACCCCATCTCGAATCTGCTAACCAGCTTCCTAACCTGGGTTTTGGTCTTTGTGCTACTGGGAAACACCTGCCCCAGAATTACTGAGTCAATACCGTCAACGGGTCAGTGCACAGATATGACCTCATTTATTTGCCCACTGGTTTTTTTAAGTAGATGAGAATGGTAGACACATGGAACCGCTCCAATGACCTGAGAATTAGGGATTTATTTTCCCAGGAGAGATCTCAGATATTTATTTATGGGGAGCTTTGCTAGTGCAGTGTGTAATTAAGAAACACGAGATGTAGCCTGTGATAGAATTACATAAAGACATGTCATCAAATGGCACGGCTCCAGCGCTCCTTTAACGGGTGGCTGAGAGTATTACCTAACTCTGCTCATCTGGGAAAGCATTTAACATAAGGAAACATGATTTGTGGACTTTTTAAAATTAAAATATGTTTACATTAAAAAAAAATCTCAGGAAAGGAATAAAAAGAGTGGTTGTGAAGTCCTTTCCCCTCTCAATTTGTGGATGGCAGTTGAATGCAGAATTTGGGTTAAAGGCCTCACTCTGTTGCTCCTTCTGTGTCCTCCCCTAGTATGGAAAGACGCTATATGATAACTACCAGCGTGCCATGGCAAGGGCAGGGCTCGCCAGTCGGTGGACAAACCTGGGCACTGCCAACGCAGCCCCGCCGGCCCCACCTTCTACAGGTACTTCCCAGGGGGTGGTGGTAGGGAGGAATCCTGACACCTGTTCAAAGCTCAGAGCTCATGTTCAAATTTATCTAACGTATTTGGTAAAAACAGAACTTTGTGAACGCTGTACAGAATACCTTACCCTCCTGATGGTCAAGATCGAGATCCCTCCACTCCCCCACAGCACACACCTGAATCTATTTCTTTATAAGTGACTTGTAGCAGAGCTTGGACCCTTTCTGCGTGATATGCTTGTGGACAAGATGGTGATGGCCAGTTTAGGGTGAGCATGTAGGGAACTGTCTCATCAGAGTATAAAAGCGCTGTTTGTCCCAGGCTTCGTGAGTGCCCAGCAGACTGGCCACACCAGGGGTGGCATCATTCCTTGGCGTTTTGCCTCAGTAATGTCATGGCTAGAGCCTTGTACCCAACTCTGGGCAGCACATCTTAGTGGTAACACAGCAGCTACTTGTTTGTATTTTTCAGGGGGGAGGACGAGACACTGAGGATGGAGTGGGCTCTGCCTTGCTTTGTGTGTATGTTACTTCTGGTCCTTACAGTGGTCCTGCAGAGTATAGGGAATTATTATCCCCACTCCACAGCTGAGAAGACTGAGCTGGGAGGAGCTAGTACCTACTGTCTTCTCAGTGGCTGAGCTGTAATCCAAACACATTGTCTTTATGATAAATAATCGTTGAAAGAACTGGAACCATTGATGGTCAGTGATTTAATCAATCGTGCCTCTTAATGAAACCCCAATAAAAACTCTATAAACACTAAGGCTTGGGGAGCTTCCTGGTTGTGAACAAGTCAGCATAGCAGGTGGGTGACATGCCCGGACTCCACAGGGAAAAGGCATGGAGGCGCCATGTCCAGGACCCTCCCAGACCTTGCCTCGTGTGAATCCTTTATAATAAAACTGATCATTAAGGATAGCACTTTCTTGAGTCCTGTGAGTCATTCTGGTGAATTACTGAGCCTAAGGGGGCTGTGGGAACCTGTCAGTTTATAAAGAGCTGGTCAGAAGTGGCAGGTGGCTGGCATTGGAGCGCAGGCAGCCTTGTGAAGGTTATGCTTTAAACCTATGGAGTGTGATGCCAGCTCCAGGAGGTGTCAGAACTGAATCACAGCCCACCCACTCGAAGTGGAAGCAGAGCACACATCTCGCCAGGGCCTTAGCTCCACCAGGTATGTGTGCATGTCAGGGTCACTGGGGGCTTAGGGCTGCTGTGAGATGCTATTGTGATAGGGCCCCCACTGAGCCCATATACATTTGATCAGCTGGGCCAGTGTTCGTAACTCCCAATTCAAGGCTCTCTGGTAGAGCAAGCAAGGACATGTGGTTTAAACTCAGAGCCTGAAACGGGCATCTTTCTCCCCTCCATCTCAGTCTTAACACCAGTCCCAAACAGAGGCAACTGTAACACCAGGGACTTAAAGAAAAAGAAGATAAGAAGGGAGCAAGAGAGGGGGGAGGGGAGAAGGAAGGAAGGAAGTGAACAGAATGGCTGGGCCCGGCCCTCAGCCCACAGTGGCTCCGCCCACCGTGAACCAGATTAATTGGTGGCGAGGGGACGAGGAGTGAGACAGGGGACATCCTTTCCTCCTAGAGGCTCTACATGTAACAGATATATTGATTCCATCACAACTTGTGCTCATCAACCCCACCTGGGCCCTTAACACTGCCTTTGGAGCTTGTGTTTCTCTGGACCCGTGGTTCTCAACCAAGGGAGCCTTGGAGCCCCGGGGGGATTGGCAGTGTCTGAAAACATTGTTGGTTTCATGCTTAGGGTGGCGCTTCATCATCTAACCTGCAGAGCCCAGGGACGCTGCCTCTCCTACAATGCACCGGACAGCCCCGAACAGCAAAGAATTTTCCAGTCCCATATGTCAGTTATGTTGCGAAAACTTGTCCCAGTCAATGTAACCTCCTATTTTAACTAATAGTTTCAGACTTTCTTCACTCTCCTCAGATTTCCAACATCCAGCCCCTTTACTCTGAGTAGAGCAGGTGGAAACATCAACTGCCCACCATCAAACGCCACGGCTTACGTGCATCGGCATCTGTCCTAGCCTGTGCCCATCACATTACTTCCTAACAAGGGCGAATTCTCCCCTGTGTGCTCTGGTCCCCTGTTCTTGCCTCAGCTGGAGTCCTGCAGTACATCTCTGATGCTAACCACCGGTGTCAGCTCAGGCCCCACGGCTAAGGGCACAGTCCCAGTAAGGCTGCCCTTTCTTCTGAGGCCAGCCACACTTCAGGGGTCCCCAGGCCACCCACACTTCTGACGTACTAGCTGCAAATCTGGGGGTTCCCATAACCCCCTTTAGGTTCACAGTTCAACTCACTCAAGAAAGTACTATTCTTATTGTCACGAGGTTATTACTAAAATTACAAATCAGGATTATACACTATCTATAAAGAAAAGATTTTGAATATGTAAAAGAAAAGAGAAGAGGGGAAGGAGACTAGACCAAAGGAGATGAGAAGGTTGAGCACTTTGGAATCTAAGGGGTTGAAATCTCACTCAAGGTCTTATGAAAAATCTTGAATTTAAACATCTTAAAGCCTTACTCTTACTTCCCACCCTCCAGAGCAAAGATTTGGCTAATTCGAGAGAGACGTTGATAAGCCTTAGAGACGTGGTGTTTACGTGGCACGCAGTGTACGTCCTGACAGCACCGAGCAGACGTGCCGAGGGGGGCAGCTCGGTTCTTGCTGACTGGGGAGCACACGTGCCACAGTGAAAAAGCTGACAGTGCAAGTTGTTACAGCCTGTTCCGGTTTTTTAACTGCATAAATGGACATGAATATCTCTTTGTTCTGAAATAATTTCAAACTTATGGAAAAGTTGCTAGCATAATGCAAAGGATTTCCATATACTCTTGACCCAGAGCAAAGAGGCTGAATGTTTGTCACATTTGCTGTGTCATTTTCTCTCTCCATCCACCCTTCTCCATGTGTTGTCCATAGACATTATTTCTTTTTTTTTTAATTGAAGTAGAGTTGGTTTACAATGTTATGTTAGTTTCAGGTGTACACCAAAGTGATTCAGATATATATATGTATATCTATATGTTATTTTTTCAAGTTATTTTCCATTATAGGTTATAAGGAATTGAATATAGTTCCCTGTGCTATACAGTAGGACCTTGTCGTTTTATCTGTTTTATGTATAGTAGTGTGTATCTGTTAATCCCACACTCCTAATTTATCCCTCCTCGGCTTTCTGCTTCAGTAACCATAAGTTTGCTTTCTATGTCTCAGAGTCTATTTCTGTTTTGTAAATAGGTTCATTTGTATCTTTTTTTTTTTAGATTCCACATATAAGTGATGTCATATGATATTTGTCTTCCTCTGTCTGACTTACTTCACTTAGTATGATAGTTTCTAGGTCCATCCATGTTGCAGCAAATGGCATTATTTCATTCTTTTTTATGGCTGAGTAGTATTCCATTGTATAAATATACCACATCTTCTTTATCCAGTCATCTGTCAATGGACATTTAGGTTGCTTCCATGTCGTGGCTGTTGTAAATTGTGCTGCTGTGAACATTGGGGTGCAGGTGTCTTTCTGAATTAAGAGTTTTTGTCCTATCTGGATATATGCACAGGAGTAGAATTGCCGGATCACGTGGTAACTCTATTTTTAGTTTTTAAGGCATCTCCATACTGTTTTCCATGGTGACAGCGCCCATTTACACTCCCACCAGCAGTGGAGGGTTCCCTTTTCTGCTCACCCTCTCCAGCAATTACTATTTCTTTTTTTTTTTGAGCCATTTGAGAGTAGATTGACTACATCATGTAACTTTGCCCCTTAAATCTTCCCTTTGTATTTCCTAAAACAAGATAAAGCTATTCTCTTACAACCCACAGTACAGTTCTCAAATTCAGGAAATTTAGTTTCATGTTGGTAGACTTTTTATGTAAACCACAGTCCACGTCTTCCAGTTTTGCCAGTTGTCTCAAAGATGTTTTACAGTGATGCTCTTTCCTGGCACAGTTTCCGTCCAGGATTGTGTTTTGCAGACCTATGTGATGATGTTATTTTTTTAAAAGATAAGAATGATAAAAAAAAAAAAGAAATTCAGGCTAATAGGTACCTGCGGAGGACAAGTAGGGAGCTAGGACAGGGGAAGAACTCCTAGGTTGGTACAAAGATTGCTCAGAGGCCAGTTTTTAGGTCGGTGGGCGGGTTTATGGGTGTAGCACTCATGGCTGCTGTGCTTCTTCAGGTCTCTCGCGTCTGCTGTTATCTGAAACATTTCCTTGGCCTTTCTTTGTCCATCAAGACAGTAACAATTTTTTAAGGACTAAGGACCATTTATGTTACAGAATGTCCCTCAGTTTGGATGTGTCTGGCGTTTCCTCATAACTCAGCCCAGGTACTGCACTGGGGGCAGGGCCAGGCTTCTGTGTCCTTCCCGGGTATCCCAGTTGGAGGCATATGGTGTCTCCACGCCCCTTAGCTGCTTGGTTAAGGTGCTGTCCAATTTCTCTCCCATGCAGTTTCCTTTTTGTATTTAATAATTTGTCCAGAGAGACTTTTGAGACTTGTGGAAGTATCTGATTCCTTCTCAGACTTTCCCTCCTTCCCAGTCTCCTGAAGTCCTTAAAACCTTCCTTGAACTATTTTGTAGATTCGTGGGTTTCTCCAGATATTGGGGAAATATTTGAAGAAGCAAGTAAGCAGTCATTTCATAAATATTTGGCAGGATAGCTGGTCCTGAACAGAGCTAAGGTAACCTCAGATTCACTCAGTGAGACCTGATGTCAGGGGCTGAGAGGCAGTTCAGTCGTGGGAGAAACGGCCTCGGTGTGTGGAGGGCTGGCTGACCGCCCCCAGATGCCTTCTCAGGAGCCATGGAGATCAACATACAGCTTCTTCTGTCTGACTCTCTCAAAACGGTGAGGCACACTTTTGTGCAAAAGAGCAAATAAAAAGGCAGGAAAATAATTGCCTATCAGGACTTTCAGGGGGGAAAAAAATCTAATTCCAGGATATATTAGGGGTCTGCACCTTTTGCTCAGTCACCTCTGCCTCCTGTTTTTGTGCCCAAAGTACTTTTTGTTGAGGGTAACATTCAAAGTTGTTCCTGTGTGCAGCAGAGTGTGTAACCGGGTCCATCCATTTCAGAAAAATTTTCAACAATGCGAATCCTTCTAAAAAGGAAGTTTTCCAGGTTTATTCTCCAATTACCCAAAAAGTCCTGAAAAGCAGAACATACTATTCTCTAAGACCCTAGTTAATCCAGATTTTGTGGCTTGCCATAAAGCACTCACTTCCCTGAAACTTTTGCTGAAACTCATGAAGTGTTGTCAGAGAACCTCAGATTTGGGGGGAGCCCTGTGTACCTATGAATCCTTTTGCTTTGGAGACATGAATTGCTTTGTATTTTCAAATTTAACTTTCAAGAACGTTGAAAATAACTTGCCATTATTCTTTTTTTTTAATTGAAGAATAATTGATTTAAAATATTATGTTAGTTTCAGGTGCACAGGAAAGCAATTCAGTTATATACTGTTTTCAGATTATTTTCCATTTTAGGTTATTACAAGATATTGAATATAGTTGCCTGTGCTCTACAGTAAATCCTTGTTGGTTATCTATTTTATGTACAGAAGTGTGTATCTGTTAATCCCGTACCCCTAATGTATCGTTCCACCTTGCCCACTTTTCTTGGCTCACTTCCTCCCTTTTAATTAAAACAGGCACCACTCAGGCCAATGGTCAGATTCCTCAGGCGGCACATCCTATGAGTACAGTTCTTGGAGAAGCGCAGAGACACGTTGAACTACCCAAGGTAAGACCAGGAAGTACCTGACCCACTTCTAACAGACTGTGCTCTGTAAGCCCAGGAGCCATGTTCTAATGATTGCTCCTTTGAAAAGAGGAAATACAATTCCAACAATTCAAAAGTCACCAAGATTTCATTTAGATAATTGTGCTATCGCTCTCGCTCTCTCTCTGTGTGTGTGTGTATATATATATATATACTTATATATATATATACTTATATATATATTATTTTTAATCTTGAAGTTACATAGGCTAGAATGGAAAATTAAAACTAACTATTATTACACAGCTTTGGGAAAATGTAAGAATTTTTTTTTTAATTCTGAGGATTGATAACTATTTTTAGTTTAGCTACACTTATTTTGACTGAAGTGACTGTTTGTTTGTTTAGTCAAGTGTTTTTAGCACTCTTCAAAACTGGCATCTGCATTTTAAGTGCTTGGGATTTTTACTTATTTTTTCTGAATAAATTAGATCAACTCATTAGTCAGAAGTCCTTTGTTAAATGCTAACTGGACCCCAAGCCAGATTACAAGAGTAGTAACAGGGTTCCACTATAAAACGTGCATTTTGTATTTTTCTGTTAATATTCTACATACATCCTCAGAGTGATGGAGAAGAGACAACATTTTTAAATAATAGCCAAATTGGTAAAACATTCTCCATAACTTTTTTTCAGTAGAGGAGATTAATGTAGATTCATTTCAATCTAAAAATTATAGCTAAAAGTGATCATTGGTGACATCTGAATTGACTACACAGCTTCCACTGAAGGTTTCTCATGTGTAATTCAGCATAATCCTAGCTGCCCCTGCAGTAGTTTTCCACCTCATTCTCCCCTTCCATCAGCCAGTGGTGGAAACAATCAAATCCTGCATTTATTGAACTTCTTGTAATTTTTGAGAACCATGGTAGACCATGAAAAGCTGTGTTTCTCTAATATTCTTGTTGGCGCCTCAAGTCTGACAATCTCATTCACACAGTGTACTTTCAGCAGTTGTTATTTTCATGGTTTCTGTGATGCCAGCTGAAGAGAAACATCTTTAAATGCTGAAAGCAAAAAGAAAAATTTCAGAATAGAAATCACTTAACTGTGTGTGAACACCAATTCCCAAAGTGCCAGACCAGAAATTTTTTAAAAAATATATCACCAGTTAATTTCTTACCATGCTAAGCAGTTGAACTGAATAAAATAAACTCAATCAGAAGGCACTTTGTTAGGAGAGAAAAAAACTTCTAAGTTTAATCTTCAGTGGTAAGAGGTTATTAAGCAAAGAAAGAAATACAATGAAAGCCTGATAAAATGTAAATCACAATGATAATTATCACTGAAACAGGGATTCAGTTTGGCTGCCTGAAATTCTCAGGTATGTTACATTATATAAATATAATTTATTAATCTCTATTCCACTGTTGGCAGACGAAGGGCTGAGCCCTCTGTTAGCCTTTGGCCAAGTCTGGTGTTTTGGTTTCTTCCAATAGCACATGCAACATAATTTTAGTTTTCAGAACCCACTCATATGTTTATCTCACTTGATCACATTATGCATTCAAGATACAGATAATAATAGGGATTATGGTGCTCATTTTATACCAGATTAGCCAGCTGACTTTCACACAGTTAATAAAAAGTAAATCTAAGACTATGGATCAAGTGTGCAGATTCCTGGTCTACCCACCTCCTCCCTGGAAGCTGTTAACTTCTGGAGGAGTGAAACATAGAACTGGCTCCATCCTTGCCCACAGCCCTGTGGAAGGGCTGTCGGCATGCAAGTACAGAAGCAGTGATGCAAGAGCCAGAACCGTCCCCACCAGGAGAGAGAGCCTCTGGTGCTCAGGTTTGCACAAAGATGACCTGTAGTCCAGAGAGAACGCCTTCTGTTTTCTTTTTCCCTTCCATCTTTGTGCTGATGAAAGTAGGAAGATTAAGCCAGGGGATTTGTAAGAGATTTGGGGAAGCTCCTTAACCATCTGTCTGCCCCTGAGGAGATGGCACAGGAGCAAAATAATTTCAGACACCTGCTCCTGACAACTGCCCTTCACAACCAGCTCAACTCAGACCAAGAAAAATGTGACGTCTGTGTTTGCCTAGGACCCTGGTGGCTTGTCGCAGGAACCAAGGCTTGAGTGGGAGTTCCAAAAGAGCCAATTTGCTTCCATTTGGAGTTGCTCTAGGCTGACTGTAGGGTAAAGACTGAGGTAACCCACAACCAGCTAAATAAACCCTGTACCACAAGAGCCCTTTTAAAGACACTGGTAACTCCTGTATAAGGCAGCTCTGAGGAGACACCTGTATAATCTAAATAAACACCTTGCTGAATAGGGCAAGGGCTTCCATTGACAGAAGAAGACAGAGTAGATTAGCAGCAGGTAGTAATATTAAATAATAATGTTAAAGGCCATTTGGAGTCCTTCTATCCCAAAGCAAAGATGAGCTAGCTTAAGAACAACCTGGAATCTCCAGGACTGAGGGATTGAGACCCCCCTGGGGGCAGATGCTTCTTAAATCCGGAGAGCTCCCCTGTCCAAAGAAATGTCACCTCCACGTGGCCGTGAGGTCAAGAATAATGCTGTTCTCTTTGTTGAAGGACCAGAAGCCAGCCCCGGGAGCGCCCAGGGCCCAGCCCCTCCCGAAGTCCAGCCTGCCTCCACCCCCTCCTGTGCGAGGGTCTTCAGATGTCAGCGGCAGCCCGGGGATGCCCCCCAAGGCCAAGGGCACGGCCGACGGCTTCCCCGCCCTGCCCAATGACCTCCTGCCACCGCCACCGCCACCGCCACCCCTGGAGGACGACGAGCTCCCTCCACCGCCCCCCGATTTTGACGCGCCCCCGGACTTCGTGCCTCCCCCACCGCCCTCTTTTGTGAGCAATGTGGGGTCCCCGTTACCGCCGCCGCCGCCTCCCCCACCCACCTTCATCCCAGAGTCTGCCGAGAAGCCCCCGATAGTCGTCAAAAGGCCTCCAGTTCCCCCAAAGAGGCAGGAGAACCCAGGACCACCCAGCGGCGGAGGCGGGGAGCAAGATTTCATGTCAGATCTCATGAAAGCTTTGCAGAAAAAGAGAGGTAACATGTCGTAAGGAGAACTTACAAATATCTTTGGATGATGGATATAATCATTGCTAACCTCAACTGCATGTTTGTTACTTTGTTCTCATGACATTTTGTCCATTCTTAGATACAATATTGCAGTATCCTGACTAGAAGTACTGCAAAACATCTCCCTGTTGCTCAGGTACACCTGTAATCCTTAATCTAACATGGAATTTAGAATATCTACCTAAATGGACCTACCTTTCCTATGTATTTCCACTTCGATGGATTTTCCCTTCCATTTCAAGTTAACTAAAGAAGTTTTATGTTATGTTCCGAAGTGTCAAATTAATAAAAATTTAAATGTTTTTTCCTGAAGATGGTATTTTTAGAACTATCAGTCTGTAAATCTAATGCAGTATCAATTCTATTTTATAACATACTTGACCTTTTAAAAATCCTAGGCCTTCTAAAGTCTTGTTGATCTTTGACATACTTTCCATCACCACCTCAGTGACCTCCACGACTTTCACAAAAATCGAAAGAAAGAAAAGGAAAAAACAGGCAGGGTGAATTCAATTTGAGACTCACTGCTTGATCAAAAGTATGCCTAGCCAAGTTTCCATAGTTTTGAGAGAATCAGATAGAGGCTGTATGTTGATCTCCCTGGCTCCTGAGAAGGCATCTGGGGAATGGTCGGTCTGGGATGAAAGTGTTTTACTCTCTTTTTAAATGTAAAAGGCCTCAAAATCTTCTTAAAAGTGGATAGAAATTAAATAATAGCTAATGTGTTATTTTCTACTTAAAAAATCATTAATCTTATGTTGTAATATTTGGGGAAAAGTAAGCTCTAAACTGACATTTAAAGCAAACAAACAAAAAAGCAAACAGATTTTAAAACGAAAATATTTAGTAATTAAAACTGGTAAGGTGCACTAAAGTTTTCTGAAGCATTGGAACCCACCCCTGTGGATCAAGAGGGCTCAGAGAGTAAGACCCAGGGGACTCACGAAGGGAAAGTGAGGGATGTGGTTGTTATGGACCTCCCAGACTCCAAAACCATCAATTCAAACATATTCCTAACTTAATGGACAAGAATTGAGGCCTGAAGATGTGCTTAACCTACATCCCAGAAAGCTGGGTCTGTTTGGTTTTATTTGAGATGAGCCTTTTCCAAAATAATTATCAACTGGGTAGAGAGGAAGGATGTTTATCTCTGCTGGCATAAGACAAATTCCAAGAGGACCCTAGGAATCACCATTTTGTGGTTCTCAACAGCATTTTTCTGAGTTACTTGAATGGAGAGAATATTCAAATTCCATTTCAGCTTGATTTTAAAGATCTGCCAACACATGACAGATAATGTAAAATATCAGTTCCCTGTGACCCAGTAAACATTACATATCCTTTCAAAGAAATACTATGCAATCATCAAAAGTGTCACATTATGAAGAATGAAGTAGCAGGGGAAAATGTTTAATTTTAGTGAGAAAAGAAGACTAAAGCTATTCAATAATATGATTAGGTACTACTTAATGTTGGAATCCTTCATGAATTGCACCTGCTTTCCCTACTTAGCCTTGCCATATTACATCTTTTAAGAGATTTTGTTTCAATCTGGGTAAACAATTTCTAGATGAAAACGGCTTAACAAAATTGTGTAACGCTCTATCTGCCAACAACCTGAGCTTGGGCAAGACACTTATTCCCTCCAGGTCTGTTTCCCCATCTGTAATTAGGGCAGAGGGTAATGTCTAAGTCACAGGATTGTTGCAAATACACGTGTTTAATCTCTATTTTGGCAAACTCCACCTGTCAGATATTTCTTAACATATAAATCTAGATCAAGATAAGCCACAGGTGCATATTAACAACTTTTGTCTGTAAAGTACCTGACACATCTTTTACATAATATTCTTCAATACTGGCGGGGGGGACTCAATAAAATTGACTTAAATAGTTTATTATAGGCTTTCATTCAATGAAAAAAAACTCCACAAAATGTTAAAGATAAATGTAATGTGCTCAGCTGTATGGGTACTTGCACTCTTTAATGCAAAATACATGGGTCTGAAGAAAAGAAAAAGTGTCATAGAACTTCAGTTGCCTGTTTGCTGGTCTGTTTTCTCATAAGTGAACTTTTTGAGGATATCCCTAATGCTTACACTTTCTTTGATTGGTTTTGTGTGTGCGCATTTATTAATTATATCATGACTTCTGTTATAAATACACTCTTTCGGTACCATAAGAGTAGATCTGGCTGTAGAATTAAGCAAAGGTCTTTCTAACACATACCAGCTATTATTCCGGACATTCTCCAGTAACCCCTGGGCCAGTTACAAGTAGGTTCAACTATAATTAAGCAGGCACCTCTGAGGCCTTCCAGGGACAGACCCCTTCCCCATATCCTCTGCTGTAGCTCATCTCTGAAGGACCCAGGTAATAGTACTTCAGGCATATTTCTCGAGTTTTTCAGATGCTAACTACTACCACCAAATGGCAGAAATTAACTACTTGATGATCATGAGCCAGACCTTCTGACGCCTAAGGGTTGAGCGCCATCAACCAACCAGAGAATTATGTGCACCTGATCACAACCACTGGGCTGCCCCTCACTCAGCTGGCCTTTGAAAAGGCTCAGCTGAAACCCTTGGGGGAGTTTGGGAGTTTCAGGGGCGTGAGCCACCCATTCTCCTTGCTCTGCCCAATAATAAAAGCTTTCTTTGCTCCAAACTTATGTTTCCGCAGTTTTTGGCTTCTCTGTGCTTGGACATGTGAAAGGTAACATTACCAAAATCAAACAACTTCATACAGCTCAGTACATCCACTGAGCGGGGCTCACAAATCCACATGTGAGCCAGACTGCCAAAGTGGGCCATGACACACCCATCAGCTTTTCAGAGGAGGGAGTCGGCTAATCTAGCTGCTTCTCAACAGCCCTGCTAGGGGTTTGACTTGTTGCTGGAAAGAAGGAAAAGGCAGGCACTTCTTTCAAGGCCAGGTGGCCATAAGGAGCAGACGACGACGACGTGGCAAGTGACACCCAAGAGAAGCAGCTGGGGAAGCCGGAGCCTTCCGATTAGACAGCAAAACGCGAACCCGATTCTTTGCGTCCCGTTTCTCCCTAGATACGCAGAAGGAAAGTCAGTGACGGCTCGCTGGGCGCCGTGTGTGGCAATTCTGG